TTTGAACTAGCTCTTGGGAAAATGGACGACGAGAGAGCCCATGGTTCCCAGATGGTGCAGCGTCTGCAAGTTGAAAAGGCCCAGGAGACTTCCAAACTACAGCAGGCTATCACAGCAAAAGACAAAGTCTTGGAGGAGAACCAGAGGCTTGAAAGAGAACTCTGCCAAATCAAGCAGCAGCAGGAGTCATTTGACGCCACCATGCAGGATCAGGTCTCATGGAACGATATTCAGCCGGTCTTGCATCAGACACACTGTGAGCTGGTATCTGCGACCACTCGGCTCTGGAACACGATCGATGCTCTTCAGAATCGTAGACCGGCGCCCTATTTGCCTGGCTCTGAAGTAATTCACGGAACTTGGCCCGACCAGGATGGCCCGCTGGGGAATTTGGGTCACAATGCCCTACCCGGATTCTCCGCATCGAGTAATTACCCACTTGTTACTCAGCAGGTGCCAACTCCAGCCAACCAGTATGAATCGCTTGCGTGAAGCATGACAGATTCAGGGCTTGGGACAGCTTTAGATGTGGCGGAACTGCATAGTCAATTTCACATAACCACCACGCAGATAGATAACACCAGCGCCATCCCAGGATAACAGTAAAATTGGAAACAAATATATGCAATGATTTATCTTCCCCCATAGTAGAACGAACTTTCACGTAAGAATATAGTTAAATGATCAGACTTTTGCTCCGCCAGTTGGACGGAAGAGAGAATGCTCCAGGGCCGCTAAAGGTGGCTAGCAGCAGGGCGCACATCCCGGGTAGGTCCGGTGTGACTTGAAATGATCGCCAGGGGTTTGAACTCCCGTAAAACCTTAATCGCATGTTTTATCGTATCAGGTTGCGACTTCCAGCCGGCCAGGACAGGAAGGTCATCTTGTCACACCGTATTTCTATCGACGCTTTCTCTTCTGACCTCCCGCAGGGCTGCGGTTATATACAACTTCAAGCGAGAGTCTGCCGAGGTGAAATATAATTGTTCGCAAAGCACCACGGAATAATATACCTCAGCTAACAAGGCTGACATCGGGCTCTAGGGTATAGGCTTAATTCCATCATATTTCGATCTGAATCACTTCTGCGA